AAACCAAGGGAAGTGTGGATTAATTGGAGCGGAAATGCTTTCTGCACACAGCCATGGATGTAAAAGCTCTCTTGGAAGGGGTCACCAGGATGCTCTCAGGAAAAGTCACTGGATTTGTTTTTGGAAGGCTTAAGATAGGCTCTTGGCAAACCAGAATGTTCCAAAGGCCAGATCCCGTTCTCTGCACAGTACTGGGGAAGAGGAGATGGCGGAGGCTGAAGAACGGGCCTCAGCGCTGGGTCAGCAGGGGACTCGGGTCTCAGGATTGCTACTCCATGGCCTGTGCTGCTCCCCAGAGCTCACATGTCATCTTCCCAAGAGCTATGTTTCCGCTAAGGACAGACAGAATGGCCCATAAGGACCCCATGCTATCAAAGGCCAGGAGAATAAAAGGTAACTCAAGATGGTAGCAGAAGGGCTTGGGCCAGACAGGCCCCAATTATGTCCCCTCCACAACTTATGGACTCAGTGACATCGGCCAGGTTCCTTCTCCTCCTTCCCCAGCCTCCTCCTCACCTCCCTGCCCTTGAAAATTACTGTGAGAATTCAGTGCATAATACACGGAAGCTTTCCTCCCCATAGTGCTAGGTACACGTTTGTTGGTAGTTTTATCTGAGTGGTTCATTTTCCTTGGGAGTAGGGTTTACTTTTAAATCATGTTGTCAGAGGGGTATCCAAACTGTAGGAGGAAAAGAGGATGTCTTCGCACTAAGTGAATAAGGAAATATGATTGTATAGAAAAGGTCTGGTAGCTCTGTCTCTCCTTCCCTGAAAAAAAATGCTAACTTCCGGTGCTACATTATCCTTAACAGATTCCCGGAGGCACTGCTTGCAGCTAGCTGTAGGTGCAGGGAGGGGAAGAAGAGAATTCACAAACTCTGAAGGACTCTCTGCATCCCTTATTCTAAACCAGATCAAAACATCTCAATAGCTAGGGAGGAAAACTGTCTAAAAGCCAACATCCTGATAATTTATTTTGAGCTCATGCAGCACTCTGGGGTGCCCACTGCCTCCTACCCTTCAAACTTACATCCCTAAATATTAAAAACACACATAAGATGTTGGATAGTTTTCAAGTTTTCTGAGATGCCACTGATAAGTATCCACATGTGCTGGCTTAGAATTAACCCTGGGTCGTCCTGCATATATTTTCCATGTGAAACCAAATTGAGGAAAATATTTTAAACAATCTGAACTTAGATCCTGCTTTAAATTCATGCTGTGGGGCTTAAACAAAACCGAATCCTTTCCCCACCCCCTAGCTGCAAAAATACTATTTATTTTTCTTGCAAATGGACCATAGACGAAGGTAAAACAAATGTCTTTCTGTCTTGAGATGTATATATCTTTTCTGGCCAAGCTCCCCACAGCCAAACATCTAACAGAATGACTAATATCGCCCTTGCCTGGAATAAAAACAACAACTTTACCTCTCATTGAGCAGAAATCGGGAGGTCTGGATTCTAGACCCAATTTGGCCATGACCTAGCCTGGGCACTGTGGCCAGTCTCTCTGGCTCTCTGTTCTTGCTCTCTGTTTAGGGAGCGGGTGGGGTGTGCTTGGGCGTAGGAGAGGAGTTGATCTGAAACCCCACCCAGCTCTAAAATCCTATGACTCCAGATCAAAACACGGGTAAACAATGGCAAGATCGTGTACAAAAGTATTGTAATATCAACTTAAAACATGGGTGGTGAGAAGTCTTCTCTAGAATGCCCTCTTCAAAGGGAACCCCCCATTTCTGATGTTGACCTGAGGCGTGTCAATCTTGTTTTTCTCATCAGTTCCTGTCACATAGTAACATCCCCACCGGCTGGAACTTTAGGTTTGTGCTGCTAAAGGTCAGAGGTGTTTGGTAAAGGTTCCATGGCCTCAGCCCAAGCTGGGGTTCCGGAGGAGGGTCCTTCCTCCACTGTACTCCTTTTTGAGGAAGGGTAGAGCTCCGATGCTGAGAATCCTTTCTCCCGCGCATCCTCCTGCCTTGGCCCAGGGAATGACTAACAATCCCCCATCCCCCACCCCCTGTAGCAGGCAATCAGTGTGGGTCAGAATTTCTGCACTTTTCTGAAAGATGATCCTTGGCTTCCTCCTCAGAGCCTCACTCCCAGGGATATAGTTTATGCCTCTGGGATTGGAGTTCCTTGGAAACACAACCAGGAGTCTCAACACAGCATGGGTTTTATGTGGTCAGAGGCAGGCCGGGGGTAGAGGCCATGGGAAGGCATAGATCTCCACTCTACATTGCTGCAATGTCTCCCTTCAGCCTAAAAGACCCTAAAATCTGTATGTCCTGCGAGGGAGTCACTGGGGGTTTTAGGGAGCCCAACCCTACTCTTCAAGACCAGGCCTAAGCTCTCATTGCAGAATCAGAGAAGTCGGAGGCCCAGGTGTTTGGTTCTGCCTCTGCACTTGCCCTGGGAGAGTCAGTCATTGCCCCACTCAGGCCTCTGAAAGCAGGGAGATGGATGAATGGCGTTCAGTGGTGTGGTCCTACAGTTCCTGTAGGTCTCCTATGTCCCCTGCACGCCGAGTAAAGCATCCCATGATAGAGCTGTGTCTGCTGAGCCACCTCATCTCCCAGGTCCATCACCAATGGTGATGCTTCTGGGTCTCATCAGGGGACAGGGAGGAGAGGCATAGACCCTGTGCAAGGGCTGTTGTCTGACCTTTGGGCTCCAGGGAGGGTGTAGCCGCCTCAGGGCAGGAAAGGATGCCAGCAGTCCCTGAGGAGGGGCTGTCCAGAGCTGACATCAGCCTCTTTCGGTGCAGTCAATAGGCCCCAAGGCCAACTGGATTAATGGTCCTTCTCCCAAGCTCCCCACCCACGCCCCGGGGAGCCCCACACCACTGTGGCTCAGCTCCCACCTCCCAGACTGTGGCCCCAGCTTCCGAGCCCAATCCAAGCACAGAGCCCAGCCAGCTGGGCCCACGGGGGTGAGTTATAAACAGTGACCAAAGCAGCCGTGGGACGAGTGGTGACTGATGACCACCGCCTCTCCCTGGGCTCGGCAAGCACCGACCTCCTCTCTCCTCTCAGGCCTGCGGAAGAACGGTTGCCAAAGAGTTCCTGACAAGCACCCCTCTGGTATGTGGGCAGCGCTTCTGATTTCCCTCTAAAGGTCATCTTTCCACAGTCCCTCCCTTCCTGCCACCCCATCAGGAGTTGTTTATTTCACACAGCTGAATGCCATGGTCCTTCTCAGCTCCCTTGGCGGCAACCCAGCAGAGCGCAGTCAACAAAGAGAGCGGGAGGAGGCAGCAACCCAAAGGCAAAGTATGGTGCCCAGCCCAGTTCATAAATGTGACTCTGATATGTCACAGATGTCCGAGATCATAGCCAGGCTCCCTTCCTTGGCCATCCACACTTGCCTTTTGGCTCCTGCAGGGTCCAACAGATCTCCTCATCTAGCCAGGACACTGCTAGCTCGGCCGTTGGCTGCTCTAGAAAGGGGCTCCAGATAATGCCAGAAAGACTCTGAAGCACATACATTGCTTTGGGAATCACAGCATCGAAGGGGAGGTGGATGTGAGAAGTCCACGGTATGTGTAGGCACACCTGTCCTCAGGTACGTCCATCACTTTAGTGACAAAATACTGTCACAGATGTTTTCTCTGATCCCGAGTCACTGCCCCGGGGAAAGGGAAGGACCGTGGAAGGAAGAGGCGAGTTGAAGTTCAGGACAGACACCTTGGAAAAGGGCATATTAAGGAGTGAGGCCTTCTGCTCATGCATGACGGGGAGGAAAGTACTATTTTAAGGATCTAATGAAACCAAAGATTGGCCCTAGGGAAACCCATCCATCTGGGTTCCAAGTGTGAATCTGAAGAGGTGCCTGTTCCTGAGTGTCTGGGGCAGAAGGCGGAGGCAGGCGCTCTTTCCCAGCCGTCTCCCTGCAGAGCCAAGGCTGCGGTACAGAGGATAATCCGTCTGTGCCTACACAGGGCCGCAGCATTTCAGAGCCCAGCGGTACCAGATGCTGGCATTCTTTTGCAACTTGGTTAGGAGACACTATTCATGGAGACTTGGCTGGGAGGCTCATTCTCCTCTGGCAATCTCGCCAGGGTTCTACATGTAGCGGGGAGAATAAACCCAGGGAAAGAGTGCTAACTAGACAAGCGGGCTTGCCTTATAAACATTTTAGGAAGTACCCTTGTCAGGAAGACGCCCCTTGTGAGACGTGGGGGCCTGCCAGGTAATGGGAGATCCCTCGCATCTCTGCTCAGTGGGTGGCAAAGAAGGAAAACAAAAGGGACCCTGCTTTGCCTCCATGCCTTTCCCCACGCTAGTACTCAGGGAAGCCATGCGTGGTTTGATGAGGCCAGTGACTGAATTTTAGCAACCATCTCCAGTGACTCAAGGAAGTGTGTCTGAACCGGTGTATTACACAGGATAATAATGGACCTTTACTGATTCCTAACCTCATGTCCAGGCCCAAGCACTTGATGTGATTAACTCATTTACTGCTCACAGTGATCCTATAAGGCAATGTTTCCCAAACTTTTGACATATGTGTACCCCTTCTATAATTTTCGTAACGCTGAGTACCCCTTGTACTCATGAGAATGTAGAATTAGGCACAGCTAAGCATGGTGCAATGCATACCCCCACCAAACTCTTCCCATACCCCTGGGGGTATGTGTACCACACTTAGGGAAACACTGCTAAGGTATGGACTCTTTTACCCTTATTCTACAGATGAGAAAACGGAGGCCCAGAGATGGCATAGCTGTATACTGAGGCAGCCAGGAGGGAGCCCAGGAAGTCTGCCTCCAGGTCCTTCTACATGGCCACGGGGCTTATGCCACCCCTGGAAACTCCTGGTCTGTGTCCCCGGAGCACACCTGTCTCTTGGTGGAGCCCTGACACAGGTAGGGGGCTCCTTTCACATCAAAGCCCTGGTCCAAGGGTCCAGCCCTTGAACCCCCCAACTGGTGGGGCTTTCTGGGTGACAGCTATTCCCGTGCTGACACAGAATCCAGTGATCCCAACAACGTTTCCTTACTGGCATCCCCCGCTCTGTCTCCTTTATCTCCTTTCTCTCCTTTTGGGCCTCGGTCACCTGAAACAGAGGAGAAAACTGGCATTAGAAACGGAAGTAAATCCTAATGGTAAATAAAGTATTATCTGCAGGAGACATTTTAAAAATAGATTTTTAAAAAATTGATTACAGAGAGGAAGAGAGAGAAACATCAATGATGAGAGAGAATCATGAGCAGCTGCCTTCTATATGTCCCTACAGGGGAATGAGCCCATAATCTGGGCACATGCCCTGACCAGGAATCAAACCCATGACCTTCTGGTGCATAAATGACCTTCGACACTCAACCAACCACTGAGCAACACTGGCTAGGCGGCAGAAGACTTATTAACCCAATATCAGGGAGAACATCACGCAGGAGCCAGCAGCACCGAAGGGCAGGCCATGGCAGGAAAGAGCCACCTGCTCTGTCACCCGGGGAAGGAGAAGGTGTCCAGCTGAGAAGTTTCACTTCCTCCTCATTAAAGCCTCACACACCGACATAGACCGAAGGAGTGCGTGGTATTCAGCAGAAAGAAGACAAAGCAAAGCTATTCCTATTAAACACTCAAGGTTTTTGAAAAGTCTACACCCAAGTTCGCTCTAATAAGCAGAGAAAGAGAGAAGGAGGGAGAGTCTTCAGTTACAGAGAGAGAGACATGGGTTCTGTGTTAGGCAGCTTTACTAGTGGGGGAGCCAGAACACATGGAGGAGAGTTCCCAGGGAACTGTGGTATTCCCTTCCCAGGATACGGTCTTTTCCCCAGCTAACATCTCACTCTACAAAGAAGTAATGGATCCTGACATCACTTGAGCAGGCGATACAATGACCTGGCAGTGCTATTCCAACCACCTTCAGAAAGCTATCTGCAAATTAAAGGCCCAGGGCATGATGTCTGGTGAATATGAGCAAGCCAAGCAAATTCCAGGGGAGAACACCAAGGATGATCCAAGTTTTGGAAACACACACACACACACACACACACACACACACACACACTACAAAACAAAACAAAGGCAACCATAAATGTAAATATAAATATGAATGTGTTTAGAAAAGGTCTGGCAGGATGTGCCCCAAACTGTTTATAGTGGTTATTCTACAGAATAAGAGCTTAAGGGACTAAAGGGTGGGGGGCTGACTTTTGACAGTATACTCCACACTTCTGTTTTGTTAGTTTTTTTTTTTTTTTTTCAAGAAGGATGTTTGGTTTTGGTACTCAGTTTCAGAATCCATTTAAAACAAGTGGATCCTAAAAGGAAGGAAAGCCTCAGTTTGTTTAATCACCAACCGGAAGGTAGAGTAAAAGTTCCCAGTGACAGATGATGAGGAGACCATCCCAGACATGGGGTGGGAGTGACTAACAGCACGTTTTTCTTAGATTTCATGTTAACAAGTGAGGAGGTCTGGGGGGGAAAAGTATCATCCTATTTCCTCGTCATCTTCTGCCAAGATGCTGGGCTGGGGGGCACTCTTGAGATAAACACAGAAAGACAGGGACTGCCTATAAAGTGGGCTCCCTGACAATGAGCAAGGTGCCTATCAGCAGGAGGAAAAATGAGAAGAAACACTGGGTAATGGAAAGCTGAGGACTGATTCCAAGTTGGGGAATACAAAGAATATGGCGGACTGGGAGGAGGTGGTAGTCCTGGGTTCCTGCGAGCCCCGCTCCCAGCTGAGCTTCCTTGTAGAGGCAACAAGCAGGACTGCTGGTTCTCCCATGCATTTCGATAGCTCTTCCGAGCACCAAAGTGTTTTCACACATATGTATCCCATTGAATCCTCAGGACAGCTCTGCGAAATGTAGCATTCCGAGAGTGTCTCGTGTGGGGATGAAGAAACAGATGCTGAACGAGATGAAGTGACTTGCTCAGGGTCACTCTGAGCCCGTGGCACAGCCAGAATTCAGAGCCAGTCCACCCGCTGCGATGTCTTTGCAGGTGCCCGGGGGCCAGTGTGAGCGAGGTGCTCTGAGATTCATTATTACCTTTGATCCCGCGCATGCCCATCACGCCCATGGCTCCCGGCCTCCCATCATCACCCTTGGGGCCGGGCAGTCCTGGGGTTCCTTTCTCCCCTGGAAGACCTGGGGAGACAAGAGACACGTTGGGGCCTTCGAGGTCACCGTCTGGCTCAGCAGTTGATTTCAACCATGATCCCTCCCATGGCCTCTGCTTCCTGCTGCCTCTCAGGTAACCTAGAGGCAGTAACCCGAAGGCCAGCACATACCTGCCCCATTGACACCCTTTATCCAGTGAGGCCAGACACCTCCCCCCGAAAAAATCCAGTTCTACTGAGTGATGGCGGTGGTGGTGCCAACCCCATTTGGGAGCTGTCCCTTTGCCTCTAGCTGTGCTGGAGATTTAGATTTGGCAACATTTTTTTTTTTTTCTTGGAGCGTTTTTTTATGTGACAGGCACTGTTCTGGATGCTTTGTATAAAGTGTCCCATTTAACCCTCACAATAAACGAAGGTATTATTTCACTCTGTGCTACAAAGTAAGAAACTGAGGCCCAGAGAGATGGAGTAACCTGCCCATGGTCACACAGCGAAGTGTCAGAGGCTAGATCTGAGCCCTGGTCTTTCTGAGCTCAAAGCTCAGGGTGAGTTGGCTTCATCTCACACTGATGAAAAAGGTTTCTGTCAGGAGGAAGGTGAAACAGCTCCCTGCACAGGGGCGTGTAGAGACGGGGACAGTAGACAGAGGAGGAGGAAGAGAGGTCAGTAAAGGAGGTGATGGATGGCCTGCTACTGCGTCAGGCCTGGGGTTCCCGACCAGGAGGCCCCACGGCCACTGCTGCGTGCCACCAGGGAGAGCCAGAATCAACACACGCTTTCACCCAGTGATGGCCCTGGGTCCCCTGTGGCCTGACCTTAGCCCACAGTTACCTCTGCAAAGCAGTGCAGCCGTGATTACTGACTCATTGCTCTTTGCTGCTCCGAATGTTAGTTTTCTTTGGGATTTTTCTCTAGCGTGAAGAAACCTGTCTTCCAGTAATTATTCCTCCAGAGTTGATGTCAAATGGCTGGAGGGGGACAGGTGGCCCCAGGAGGGTGGCAGGACCTCAGAGAGGGGCTTAGTTTCCTTTTCTCCTTCCTCACACAGTTTTCCCAGAGTCCAATGGCCCTGATGCCACGGAACTGTGAGTCTGGGGCAGGATGCGCCCAGGAATCCCCATCCTGTCATTTTACTGAAGCAGGAAAGGGGGTGCAGTTTTGAGTTTAGGGAGCGTCCCTGAGAGGGAGAAGTAGGGAATGACAGCCAGGCCACGGGCTCTCCCTCAGCCAGCCTCTGCCTCCGCTTCTGCTTGCCACCTCCTTAGAGAGTTAGGAGGGAGGTGGTTTGGAGGTATGTTTCCTGATATAAATAAACAGACACCTGTCCCCTGAGAAGCTCTTCCTTTTTTTTACATTATCCAGAGGGCTTTTCACTCTGCTAGAGAAATGCTGCTCATGGTAGAGGCTCAGGAAGGGACAGACTGGGATGCAGAGTTTGATAGAGTAACGGAACAGGAACCTCCAAGACAATGAGAGTAAGAAGACCATATGGCACATCCTGGAATGATGTCGTTTCATTCAATGTCGTTTTGTTATAACATTGATGAGATGCATGGGAACTTAACTCATTTATATCCATTAGCCTAAGGTAAAATAGGTTCGTTACATGTTGCTTCACTTAAAATCACAGAACCCATCGATGATGTTGAGTGAGGACTTACTGTACACTTTCTAGAAGGCAAAAAAGTACCCTCCCTACCAGCCACTGGATCTCCAGGGCTGTCACCCATGTGTGTGTGGCAGGATAGAGAGGTAGGAGAGGGGCAGGTGTTCATTGACCTGCATAGGTTCAGAGGTATCTGGTGATTCACTGAGGGGGCACAGCATGACTGGAGGGTTGGTCTGGATCACAGAGCACCCTCAATTCCTTCTGAAGGCCCTGGTCACACAGAGCCTGTCTCCTGGGGTGAAGAGTCTTTTCAGGGAGCTGTGAGCCTCTTGTGTACCCTTTTCCTTCAATTCCTGGTACTTTCCATGAAAGAGTATTTGCTCCATCTTATTGTCACACGCATAACCCGCCAGTCTCTTAACAAAGCAGGGCACTTGAGACTGAGTTGATTGAGCACATGACCGACCCCAATGAGAAAGCACAGGGGTGGGAATGGATCGGCGGCCCCTTCCCTTCCTGGTATGCCCAGGGCCCTCCCGGGGGTTTCCCCATTACCTCGAAGTCCGGGTAATCCAGGGATTCCAGGCTCGCCTTCCTTTCCTTCATCGCCCTGATCGCCTTTGGGGCCTGGCGGTCCTGAAAGGGTGACAAACAGCACCCAGATTAGAAGGTGGCTTCCTGGAACAGGACACCCAGGGACTGGTGTCCTTATAAGAAGAGAATGCACAGACAGACACCTGGGGAGAATGCCGCATGGTGTTGGGGGCAGACATTGGAGGGATGTGTCTACATGATTCTGGTAGCACCAGAAATTGGGAAGAGGCCAAGAAGGATCCTCGCGCTTTTGGAAGGAGTGTGGCTCTGTGGGCCCCTTGATGCCAGACCTCTGGCCTCCAGGACAATGAGAGAATACATTTCTGTTGTTTTAAGCTCCCGAGTTTGCGGTGCTTTATTATGGCAGCCCCAGGAAACCAAAACATGTATGCTCACAGCATAGCAGTAAATGTCTTGCACAATAAATATTTGATGAATGAATGAGTTTATGAGGTCAGAGGGTGTTAATACATACAAAACAACCAGGAGGCCAAGATCAAGATGTACTGATATTCTAGAAGTTGGCACTGTCTTCAGACCCTAACTGGAGTAGACAGCTGTTTAATAATTCAATGGCACATGCACAGAGGAAAAGTAATCAACAATTTAAAAATGCACGAGTTACACAAATCACTTGAGGACTGGCTTTTGAAGTCATTGTCCTCTTTTCTCCAAAGAAAAGCAAAGTTAGACTGATCCCAGTTTTCAGGTGACAGAGTGCAGACACAGAACCTATTTAGAACACAACTAAGATGATAGGTGAAAGGCAAGTCATACTAAAGAGTCCAATCAGCTTCCCAACGCCCATTCCAGCAACCTCTGGCTAAGGCTGAAGAAAGGAGACTGAGAGAGGTCCCTGGATCTCTGTACTCCGTGGGCTGCCACAAGGGTGGGCCGCCTGCCTACCCCTAGCCCAGCACACCCCACCTTTCATCCCTCTCCTCTGCCCTTCCACTTCTCCCTTTATGGAACACAGAGCTCCAGGAACTGAGCAAGTCAAGGATGCAATGGAACAGACACTCCAATTTGTTCTCTTCACTCTGATGAGTATGGGTCTTCCCTAGAGTAATTCTCACGAAGGGAAGACACTACCCAGCAAAATGGCCCTGATGGTGGGCGTCAGGGTGGCAGAGTCCCCTTGGGGTTGACTGTGGATATGGAGCATCTTGAGTTCCAGGTCCTGGTTCTAGAAAATCTAAATAAAAAATTCCTTTCTTGGGCATTGGTAGCAATGCATAAGTGGATTAAATGACATCATGGATGTAAAGGGACTTAGTAATCTTTAAGTGGCAAAGCCATCCCTGACAATCTCTACCCCACTTTCCACAGCGTTTCACCAGAATGATTTAAGATGACTGTGTGTGAAGATCCTAACCCAAATTTGGCTGGGTCATTCAGACAGTCAGGTCTGAAAACATTTTTCACATGAACATCATTTTTTAAAATACTTTTTTTATTGATTTCAGAGAGGAAGGGAGAGGGAGAAAGAGGTAGAAACATCCATGATGAGAGGGAATCATTGATTGGCTGCCTCCTTCCTGCCCCCCTCTGGGGATTAGCCCCACAACCTGAGCATGTGTCCTTGAGTGAAATCGAACCCTGACCTTCTGGTTCATAGGTTGATGCTCAACCTCTGAGCCATGCCTGCTGGGCTGCATATACTTTTTAAGACACAAATAATGGGTTTGTGAGGTTCTGTATTAGAGATTAATTGGCAAGAAGTTGGGGCGGACAATAAAAGTGGGTTAATGACTTCCAAACCTTAGTCACTTCCTTAGGTGGTCTTGGCCCAGCAGACTCAGAGGAGCCTAAAACGTGTCCAGTCTGAGTCTTGGGGGCCAGACTGCTTATTGTTCTGCCGATTAAGCCTTTCTTCAAATCATTGGTGCCCATGCGTAATGTCCTCCCGGGATCTGACGTCGTGTCATTTTCTCAGGAATCCAGGCTAAAAGTCTTGAGTTAGCTTTGTCACTCATCCCTTTGCTCTGCCTTCCTGAGCTATTACTCTTCAAGGCTCCTTACTGAGGAGACTCCCGTGCTGGATCTGTCTCCTTCCTCCCCGGCATCAAGCTCATCAGGGTCCTCATGGCCTCGCTTCCAGCCATTTGAGAGACCTCATTGACTCCACTTTCTCTCTGCAACCCTGTTCCTGCTCATTCTGTTAACTAATCTCATCAGAATCCAAGGAGCTCTGTGCCCTCCGGCTCCCCTCTCTCAGGATCCGTGCTTCTGCACACCCACAGTCTGATGCTTCTTCCACCTCAGCAAATGAGTTCTCCTCATGGTGCCTCCCACCCTGACCCCCAATCCCTTCCTTTCTAAGAGTCCTGTCCCTCAGCCATGGAGCTCACCTTCGTGTACACCCTTCTGAACTCTTAGGACACCAGAGCAGAGATCTCATATTTCAGAGCTGGACAGAGCCTCAAGCACTACTGGGCACAAACTCCCCACAGGGGGCATGGTCAGGCCACTTTGCCCAGCCACTCACCTCCAACCGTGGTCCCCAAAGAGGACAGGCCTCTCTGAAAGGCTAGAGCTCCCCTCTCTGTGGCCCCGTGTCTCACACAGCACCTGGCACACAGTAGGGACTCAAAGAAGGACTTTTGGGCAGTCATAGAAGCTGTTCTGGTATCCATGGTCTCAGCAGTACGTAGATTAGCTGTTTAACTTATCATCTTTTCTACCCCCGGAGCAGGCGGGAGCATGGAGGTGGGCTGGGATAAGGAGGAATGGGGCCTTTTGCTCCTCAGTCAGGAAAACAGCCCCAGAGCCCCAGAGCCCACTGTGCTTTTGGTCTGGTGTGCCAGCTTCTCCTTCCTGCCTGCCTCCTGCAGGGGCCTGAGGAGTAAGACACCTGTGCCTGGGTCCCCTCCCAGAGCCTGCCCACCAGTCTAGCGCACTCCCCCCACCCCACTGCCCCCAAGGCCATTCTGCCCTTGCCTGGCTGCCTGAGACCCACTCCAGCTGGAAGCATTTCCAGAACAAAACAAAGTGTATGTGACCCAGCGTTTGGGAGAAACACCAGGATTCTTCTGGGAACCAGCCCACAGGGAGGGAAAGCAGTCCTGTTCTCTCTTCCTGGATCCTGCAACTGGCGATGGGGCGGGGGACTCGCGTGTGCCGGAATCTGGACAGGGACCTGCCAAGAACAAGTTCTCATGACAGCTGATAAAGTGGGCCCGACGCCAGCATAGCAGTGACCCACATCATAACGTAAACATCACCCCAGAGCCATGCTAATTCTGGGGCAGTTGACGGGGTGGAGCTCCTCCGCTAGTTACTCTACTCCCACGTGCCTGAGGTCACTGGGCACAGCGTTTCCCATGCTATTACCTGTACACTTGCAAGTGCCCTCACTTCCCTCATTCCCGGCCTTCTCTCAGCACCCTGAGCATGCCGATGGGGCAGGACTGTCAACCCCATTTAACCACCCAGGAGACTTGAGCCCAGAAGTGTGGGCGGTCCTGCAAGGCCAGCTCTCCTCTGAACCCTGAGGGAAAAGGGGGTGGTGGGCAGGGCTGGGTGCAACTGCTGATTTTCACAGCATGGTCTCCGGCTCCATCTCAGCAGAGTCAGACACAAAAAGTGAAATGACAGAGAGTCACACAGCCCCCACCCAGCCCCTGTTTCCCAGTCCTTAGTGGAGGAGAAACACTATGTCCACGTTGCTCTGATCAGAGACACGCAACACCTCCAACACATCCCTGCTCACTCAAGGCCAGAGCCCAGTGTCCAAGCCTGGAATCCAAGGCTCCACAACATTTCAACGTTCCTTTATAAACATTTGTTGAACTGGACTCTCTACTCTACTAGATGGTGTTTTTCCTTGGGGGGAAAAAAGCAGCCCGCAGATAAATTTGCTTTGCCAACTTGTTTTTATGAATCAAGGGATGTGTTTTCTAGTCCCAGTGGGGCCACTGCTTTCGGATTTGACTTGGGCAAGTTATTCTCCACCCTCAGCCTCGGGGTCCTCGGCAAGAGGAGCGGTCTATGTGACTTCAGAGACCTGTTGTCACTCTAATGTGATGTGATTCTATAAAGGACCAGCAAACAAACAGAGCCATCTGAGTGTGGCTGGGGTGCTTCAGGCCTTTGCTCTCTCCTTTCCCCTCCTGGTGAGCCTCCTCTCTCCCATTACCTTCCCCCCATCCTGATATGCCTCTTCTCTCTGATCATCGAAGCTCTCCCCTGTTTTCAAAGCCACCGACAGATTTCAACAGACCCGATGAATGCTGAAAACCATAAGCAGAAAACAAAGTACCGCTGTGAATGTATACAAAAGACAAACTGGAGACAAAATTTATGGAAAACTGTATAACAAAGCGAGAGAATGAAAACCATTTGGGGTCAAGCTCAAGAATAACATAAATAAGCTCATATTTGAAAAATATACATAGCTGAGTATTTGTGGATTCTGAGCCAGGAAGGGCAAAGTGTGAGTGTGTGAGTGTGTGAGTGTGTGAGTGTGTGAGTGTGTGTGTGTGTGTGTGTATTGTGTGTGTGTGTGTGTGTGTGTGTGTGTGTGTGTGTGTGTGTGTAGACTAAGAAAGGGACTGGACAAAGTGAGGGCAGAAAGGCCACTCTAGACAGCAGGCTAGAAATGCACAGCAGCTTTCCTGGCAAAGCATCCCTTACCCGAAAGCCTGGGGAGAGTTTTGTATCATTAAAGTTGAAAGTAATTACATTTGGATATGCCCTACAGCATTCTCTTTACTTCTACCAATGGGGTCCCTAGCAACCATGAGAGAGGGGAATGGGAAAGGGAGGCACTCAGAGGTGATCCTGAGAGCCAGAGAGCTGAGTGGTGATCACCTCTGAAGAGCCAGCAGACCCTCAGGAATGCAAAGCATGAAGACTGGAAGGCAGGCATGGGCAGAGCCGAGATGAAACTTTTAGTCCAGGAGAACCGAGTGTGAAACTTACTTTAAGAACCAAAGAAAGATGACTTGGCAGATTTCACTGGAAGAGTGTTGGCAAATGAATGGCCTAGGGCAGTCTTAGTTGGAGCCAAGGAGAGGGGAATTGGAAATTAAAGAACCAGGATATAAAATATTCAGACAGGCACAGGAGGGTGCACCAGAAGGAAGCACGCTGATGTCTGTTGACTAGGAGGGGAAGGAAAGGGGGAGAACCTGCGAGGGACTGTCTCCCAAGGAGAGGGATGGAGTCCAAGAGACCATGTTCCCTTCTCTCCACTGGGAAAGCAGGATGGTCAGTGACAAGAATATGGCTTCTGAGCCAAAACAACCAACACACTTTCAGACCTTAGCTTTGCCACTTGCCAATTGCTTAATGAACAGCAGGGAAGTTATGAAAATGTCTCATCTATAAAATAGGGACGATAGTACCTTTTTGTAGAGTGAGAGAATTAATGGTCTTTAATGTCCTGGGAAATTAATTTAGAGAATTAATGCTGACAAAATGTGTGGTTCATAGTAGGCCATGATTCGGTGTAGCTTCTATTATTACTGCTGCTATGAGCAAGGGAGGTCCAGGAAAAGAGAAGACAGGAAAAGCTAAGATGCCCGTGGGGTGGATTTGAGAGGAGATATGCTACCTCCAGTCCTCCTTTGATTTCTGAGAGGTGAAACCCAAAATGACCCAGGACAAGAATCCTCTGATTGCCCAGGTTTGAGATTTACTGGTTGTTCCACAAACATGGACTGAGTATTGCCCTGCTGGGCGCTGAGGGGAGCAGGAATGAACAGATGGGGGTGGACGGTGGTGTAGCAGAACGAGCACTGGGCATTGGGCTAACGTCCTGGCTTGGACATTAAACTGTACACTTGACATGGGTGAGTCTCACAGCATTTAAATTATGCCTTATTAAAGCTGGGGAAAACAAAAGTCCTGGGTCGGATCATTAGCAGCTGTGTAGTCCTGAGCCAATCAGCTATTTCCTCCTGGAGCCTCAGTTGTTTTTCTGCAGGAATCCTACCCCACCCTCAATAACGAAACCTGCCTCCACCAACCTCGCCACTATTCATGGAGATCTTCTTAAAACAAAGTAAATAACGTGCCACCCAACCTTCTGTGAAGTGGAAAGTAAATACTATGCAAATGGGAGGCCTCATCTTTACTATTTTCTGTTTTGATACAGGAAGAAGCTCTGAGGAGGGAGACTTGGGTGAGCTGGAGAGAGCAGTATGGCTCTTGGAAGAGGTGGGCTGGAGTGAGAGCTGAAGGATTTGGAGGAGGAGGAGGAGGAAGAGGAAGAAGGAGGCGTTGCCTTAGGCGGCACGGCTGGAGGAAAGCCAGGGCCGTGGGAAAGGCGGGCTGTGTCTCTGGGCCGGTGACAAGATGTGTCCCACCGGACTGGATGCTTCACACAGGACAGGGGGTACAAGCTGGCTGTCTAGGGACCATACATGGCCCCCAGATGTGTTGCATTTGGCTCACAGTGCTAAACAATGAAACATTTCTAGAACATTCCGTGTTTCTGTTTTCTCTTGGAAAAAAATGGGATGCCCTTGTCAGCCAGCCTGGCCCAAATGGGCTGGACCTGCCAGAGCCCCTACTACTCCCCGACACTGAGGTCACTATACTTACTGACATGGCTCCACTGGCCCCTGCAGGCAGCTGTGTTTGCAACCCCTGCATCAGGGGAACAGCTGGAGGAGAGGGCAGGGAAGGTAGGCCGGGGACAGGTATGCGATGTAACCCTCACCACCTGTAGGCAGAAAGGCCTGCTCTAAATCCTGGCACTGTCACCTCCTAGCCTACAACTGTGAGCAACTTTCTGACTCTCAGTGCACTTGCGGTTTTTAAGGGACATTAATGAGATTCTCTTGGCACCATGCCTGACATAGGTGATGTTCAATAATGAATTGGGCAGAAGTTGGGGATCCATGGAGAGTTCTGAGCAGGGGGTGATGCAGGAAAAGCGCATTTCATAAACGCTGCCTCTGACAGTGATGTGCAGGGTGGGCAGAGACAGGAAGACATGGGAGAGAGGCAGGGAGAGGACCCAGCAAGTGTACAAATGAAAGCCTGCGCCTTCTTTTGCCATTATCCTTAGGAGGTAGACATGAAAGCTGACAAATTGTTAAATAAAACATGTTCTTCAGACAAAACTGGTTTGGCTCAGTGGATAGAGCGTTGGCCTGCGGACTGAAAGGTCCCGGGTTCGATTCTGGTCAAGGGCATGTACCTTGGTTGGGGGCACATCCCCAGTGGGGATGTGTGCAAGAGGCAGCTGATCGATGATTCTCTCTCATCGATGTTTCTAACTCTCTATCCCTCTCTTTAAAAAATCAATAAAATATATTTAAAAAAAACAAACCAAAACCAAAACATGTTCTTTTACCTGGATGAATACAGGGGCAGACAAAAGTAGAACAGTGGTTTGCATGGAAAATAATACAGTAATTAATATATAATACAAGAATAAGCTCTGCACTCACAACTGTAAACTTACTTTGTGCCCCGCCCTGAATTGCTTTATAACCGTCTGGAAGGCCAGGTTCACATTTGGAATTCCAACTCCTTGTAGCTCTACCTATTGGAACCTCTCTCTTCCCAGCCTGAGCCTGCAGCCTGACCCCTAGACCCAAACGCTTAGCGGCCCCAGTTCCCCATTAGCCACCCTTGGCCATTCTCACCGCCAGGGGAGTGGACGCTGAGTGCACTCTCTGAGGGAGGCGGTGCACAGATACAGGCCTGGAAATGCACATTGGCCATTTAGGCAGAAATCCCCAGGGTCCTCTAGGGCAAGACTTCATCAGGGAGGTGTGGTCTCCCCATGCCAAGCCCCCTTGCAGTGGGTGCCCAGGGAGAAGTCCTGAGCAGGAGGGGCCCAGGCTGCCTTGTGGGGATTCCTTACCTTTGGCGAAGGAGATGTTCCTCAGGGCGATGGAGTGCTCCCAGTCCTTGAGGCGCAGGTCCTCCGTGATGGTGTTGAGCACGGCCAGCTCCTGCTTGAGCTGCAGCTCCATGCCCATGTGCGCCAGGCGCATGCGGCGCGTGTCCTCGCTGGCGTTGCTCACCAGCACCTGCAGGTCCCGCAGCCGCGTGCCGTGGAGGGCCACGTCGTAGGACAGGCTGTAGTTGAGGCCGCGCAGCGCGCCGCCCACGTCGGCCAGCTCCTCGCCCAGGACGCCCACCCTGCGCGCCAGCCCGTCGAGCAGGCCGGCGTGGCGCCGCAGCAGCAGCTGGCTCTGGTTGCTCTCCACCTGCAGCTGGTAGAGCTCCAGCTGCGCGGAGTCGCTCTGCTGGCCGGTGCGGTCGCGCAGCAGGGCCACCGCCTGCTCCGTCTGAACCGCCTGCGCCTGCAGCCCCCACAGCGCGCCCTCCAGCCGCTGCACGGCGCCCGCCAGCGCCAGCAGCGAGTCCGACTGGTTCTGCAGCGCGTCCTGCACCTTCCACACCTGCTCCGTCAGGTCCACTTGCAGCGGCGCCTGCAGGAGCCGCAGCTGCAAGTCCCTGAAGCTCTCATTCAGCCGGTTCACGTTCAGAGTCAGCACCTTCAGGTCGTCAGGGGAGCTCCGAGGCCTGGACACTGAGAATGAGGAGGGCGAGACGTGAGACAGGAGTGCCACCAGGGAGGTCCTTGGGTCCCCAAAGGCAGGCCTGGCCAAAACCCGGCATGCAATAGGTGCTCAATAAACAGCAGAGGAAGGGCAAGCAGAGGTGGCTGTGGTTGAGCGCCTTAGATAGGAACCAGCCACTGTGCTAAGCCAATGGTCCCCACACTTGTCCGCCCATTAGAATCACCTGGCCAGGTGTCCCACCTTCAGACGCCGTGATTGAACTGGTCTGGGTGTGACCTGAGTTTGGAATTTTTAAGAGACTAGAGATAATTCCAACGAGCAGACTAGTTTGGGCACCACTGTGCTCACTGGACCATAGGTATGAGGTTGATCCATATGGCATGGTCATTTCTCTGCGTTGGAAATGGCCAGATATCAGCTGTTTCATGTAGCTAAGCCTGTGATCCTGTGTGCTGCTATTCTCTCAAGTCGAGGAGGCGGCGACCATTATTGTGCTCTTTCAGGATGAGGGCTGTTCAAGGGGCCCAAGGGAGCCCAGCAAGTCAGTGGTGGAGCCAAATGGCGTGCTTGCTCCAGAACCTGGGCGCTCCCCCAGCAGCCCGCTCCGGAACTGCCTGCAGGACCCATGCCCGCAGCAGACTCAGCCAGGCTCTGGGCAGCAGTTTATTTTCCAGCTCCTGAGTTCGGGGTCCCTGTCCCTCTGGCTCATCTCCTGCAGCAAGGGCTCCTCTGGGTGGGGACACACGCTTTTCTATGATCACCCTCCCTTCTCTGCCTCCTCCGATCCTTCTTCTGCATCCCGTGTTTCCCTCTTCAGGCAAACAATTATGTCAGTGACTTCCTACGATTCCTCGTGGAGAGGTTCCTTCTCTTGGTTGTAAGCGGCTATTTCACAATCTAAGGGGAAGGGTGAGCATCGTAAGCATTAAAATCTGGCACCCGGTGTCTCCTGGAAGCTCACGGGCTGCACTGGCTCAGGCACACCGGCGCTGGGATGTCTAGGGGTCCTCGCTGCCTGTTTGCTGTGTGCTGTCCATCGCCATCTCCCTCTCTGGTCTGCACGCTAGAGAAATGACAACCAGAGTAGCAGGTGGGGCAGACGAGGCATGGAGGGCATTCTGCCTTGGCGATCTTACAACAGAGAGAGCTGGGAACTTGGTTTACAGTTTGTTAAAACAACGAGAGCATTCGGATAGAATAGCGTTCTTCCAGAACCTCAGGTTGGGAGGGGAGAAGATTGGTTGTGGGGGTGCTTGGGCCACGTGCAGACCAGCTGTGGCGATCCTTCAGTGAGCCTTCTGGAAGCACAAGCACTTATGGTGGCCCCTCTGGAGGAGATAAGCCACCTCAGGTTAGACCCAGCGACTCATTGGGCCAGATGGGGCCTCAGAGCCCCACTGCAACGTCTCTCTCTCCCCAGGATCACGCTGCCCAGTGGTCACCCAGCCTGTGCTTCTACTAAGGTGACCAGACGTCCCACTGCTGGCAGGACAGTCCTGATTTTTAACAATTTGTCCCGCGTCCCACGGCGTTTTAAAATTGTTAAAAATCGGGACTGTCCCGCCAAAAGCGGGATGTCTGGTCACCTTATTCTAACCATCTTTCCACCTTTAGTTGGTTCAATGAGAATGTTCTTTTTTTTTTTTTTTTAAAAATATATATTTTATTGATTTTGTACAGAGAGGAAGGGAGAGAGATAGAGAGTTAGAAACATCGATGAGGGAGAGTCATCGATCAGCTGCCTCTTGCACATCCCCTACTGGGGATATGCCCACAACCAAGGTACATGCCCTTGACTGGAATCAAACCCGGGACCTTTCAGTCCCCAAGCCGATGCTCTATCCATTGAGCCAAACCGGTTTCGGCCAATGAGAATGTTCTGCATTCTGTTCAGACTTGAAATTTGCATCCCTATAGTTTATATCCACTGATACTGCCTTCTAGGGTCATGTAGACCTAATGAAAACATTTTCCCCATAAATTTGTTATGTGATAAGTTTCTGGTTTAAAACTGCAAGTTTCTACAATGTTCTCTTGTGACGAGATCCTAAGCGTCCCTACATCCTGGCTATTCTCTTCTGCACATAAAAGGTGGTGCTTGATCTACACGTGGTTTTCCAAGATGTAGACAGATTGGGCAAAATATGGTAGAAGGATCAGCTCCTTCATTATGGACACGATACTTCTATTAATGTTGCCAAAACTGAGCTCTGTTTTAGCTTCATCTGGGTTTTTTACACTTTCACCATTGGATTTGGGTCTATGCAGTCTTTGGTGACAATTTCCCCCAATTTACAGATGAAGAAAGTGAGGGCAGGAGAGTATATGTGATCTGTCCAATGGCCTGTTTTCTGACTCCTGGTTCAATGATTCACTCCACTGCTCTGCCACTCTGGAAAATTAACCAGAGAGTTGTCAATACAAATAAAGGTTCTGGGGAAATGGATCCATGACTCAATCACAACCCAAGTAACCACAGGAACTGTCTGCTTAAGAAATCTTCATAGGCCTGGGTTCAATTTTTTTGTTTGTTTGTTAATCCTCACCCTATAGTGCCTCACCTGAAGATATTTTCCATTGATTTTTAGGGAGACTAGAAGAGAGAGGAGAAGGCAGAGAGAAACATCAATGTAGGAGAAACACATCGATTGGTTGCCTCCTGCACAAGCCCTGATGAGGCTTTGGGCTGGGGAGGAGCCTGCAACGAAGGTACATGCCCTTTACTGGAATCAAACCTGGGACCCTTTTGTCCCCAGGCTGACACTCTATCTACTGAGCCAAACCGGCTAGGGCCCAGGGTTCAATTTTAAAGCTGGTGTGTCTGTCCAGTATTTGACTCAGATTGGTTGATAAATGTTAGCGACAGGACAGTCGAAAAATAGCAAGTCTGATATTGTGTCCCTGGAGTTCAAAGAGAAACTGCAGTGGATCAGAACTAGTGAGAGTACTTTGAGTTTCTATAATTCTGGTTTTCAAAAGGGATCATGACTGAGGTAACAGTGCATACTACTTGAGTTAAGTCACAGGGCTGATTTAAGTCTCCATTTTCCCAGGCCAATCAGAGGCAACACCATGAAGCAGGCAATTTCCCTCATTGCAACTCTCTTCCAGCTCCCACCAGTCCCTCCTTCCCCCTCCAGGTGGTCCCCATACACGACTGGTACCCTGTACCCTAGGAGGCCCCTGGCCTTGCCCATTGGCCCCTTCCTCTAAGAACCTACCAGCTCTAGGGCTCTCTCTCTGTCCAGGAAACTGAACTGAAACTTGCCTGCATGTTGATGGCTGGCAATCAGCCACCCCTCACTAGAGGTTTCGCTTGGGTCTTTCATTATTGCTTATTGCACAACCAACATAAACATGAATCCAAATAAAAGAGAAAAAAATTCTCCTACAATCCCACAACCTCCAACAAAGCATTCTGATTTCTTTCTGTCTTCCTTTTTTTTTTTTTTTTTTTTTTTTTTTTTTTTTTTTTTTTTTTTTTTTAGATTTTTCTAATTGCTTTTTAGAGAGAAAGAGGGAGATAAAATAGAGAAACATTGATTGGCTGCCTCCTGCACTCCCCCGCCCCCCTTATCCACCCTGCTCAGGCATGTGCCCTGACCAGGAAACTTTCAGTGAATGGGATGATGCCAACCTACTGAGCCACACCGGCCAGGGTCTGTTTTCATTTCTTGGTTTCATCCATATGCAGACCCAATCTTCACAATTTAACCTAATATGATCATTTCATAAGCATTTCCCCACCCTTTTCTCTGCCTTTTATAATTAAAATTTTGAATTTTTTTTTCTATCATAGGAAAGACATGCAGAAAGTTCTCTCCTTCTTTTGAAAAATTTTCCAGTAATAAAATTCCCAGAAGTTGGATCTACTGATGTACTAACAAAAGGTATAGACATTTTTTGACTCGAAAATTGCAGCCAAAGCACTTTCCTAAAGTTAGACCTTCGTGGGAGAAGGTATGTGTACATTATAGATTTTGAAATGTTCCTGTTTTAGTGAAACCTCAGTGCACTGAGTATTACAGTTTTCATATTGTGAATTTTACAGATATAAAACGGTGTCTTATTATTTTTTTCTAAGTGTAAGTGCATTTTGGAAGTGGCCCTTTCAAGGCAATGCATTAGCTCAAATGAATGAGATAGACGTTGTTGTTGTTTTTTTTTTTAATTTAATTTTAAAAAATATTTTTATTGATTTCAGACAGGAAAAAAGAGGGAGAGATTGAAACATCAATGACGAGAGAGAATCATTGATTGGCTGCCTCCTGCATGCCCCCTACTGGGGATTGAGCCTGGAATTGAACCCAGGATCCTTTAATCTGCAGGTTGATGCTCTATCCACTGAGCCAAACTGGTGAGGGTGACATTTTAGGTATCCCGGATAATCATAACAGAAATTATCTGGAGAGACAAATACTCTTTGGGCCTCCAATCCTGCTGTATAAGCCCAGAGCAGCCTCCCTTTTGGGGGATCACTTATCCCAGAAGTGAATGATCTCCTTCTAACACTCACAGTGTGTTCTCAGCCCACATCACCACACCACCCACCATCTCCCCCCATTTAATTTCTTCCAGATGCTTGCTGTTCTCAACAGGGAACAATTCTTCTTGAGTGTGACTCTCTTAATTCATGTTTATGCAAACACTCCATTTATCTCTCTGCCTGGTGTATTTATTTTTTAATTTGCTTTAATTATTCTTCAACTTTCATGCTTTCAAGAAGGGGAAAATAAATCAGAAACTGACAATACCTACTGGCATTTCTTGAGTCCTTACTGTTGTGCCAGGCACTATCCTAAGTGCTTTCCTTATTCCTACACGAAATCCCATAACCGCCCTGTGAGATAAGTGTTATTATTACCCTCATATTCCATATAAGGAAACTGAGGCGCATTCTGAGGTTAAGTAAGTCACCCGGTCATACAGCCAGTGGGTGGAGGAGCCTGACGAAGGCCGGGCAGTCTGGTTCCCGAGCTCTCAGCTCTGAGCCACTGTGGGATACTAT